CCTTTGTTGTAGATCTTTGCTGTAGTTATAACCTTCACACGTACTGAAGTTCAGGTGGAGCTCTACAGAGATTGGACTTATCCAGCTGTGTCTGGCTTAGGTCTGGCTGTTGTGCTCAGCTCCTTCCCGCTGCGGACCAGGGCTAGGACTGGGTCTGGGCATTCCCGGAACTTGGCAGAAATTCCGGAACTGGGCTAGTACTGGGTCTGGGGGTTCCCGGAAGTCGGCCGAACTTCCTACTCGGCGGGAGGGGTGGGGCAGGTAAGGTGGAGTGGTGGGGGGTGGCCCGAGGGGCGAGAGCTAATATTTTTAATAATAGCTAATATTGTAGTTTATGTATCATTGGAGTAATTACAGTTAAATGACCATCTATTAAAAGGTAAGTGAGAAAATATTATCACTTATACATACTTAATATTTTTCATTTAGCATTAGTTGTGAAGAATAATCCATACTCTAAGCAAAGACTAACATGACAGACTTAATAACCAGTAATAGTAATAGTTGTAAGTTTAAAAGTAGAGGTAAAGTTAGCTAAGTAGCTATTGTCATAGAATTTACTGCCACCCAAAGGAGGTCTGTTTTTTAAAATTTTTTTTATGTATTTAGTACAGGGTTGGCAGGATCTCACTGCACAGATCAGACTCATAGTGATCCTCCTGTTTTCAACCTCTCAGGCGCTGGGATTACACGTGTGTGCCACCTTACCCAGTCTTAGTCCCAGTCTCTGTGTACCCTGGGGGTTGGGCCTGCAAGGCACGCCAGTGATCGAACCCTGTTTTCTGAGCCTGCCTAAGCAGATGCTTCAGTCTTCTGAGCTATCTGGCCGGCCCAAGGAGGCCTTTTATTTACCCAATATATGTTCATTCTTGAGTGTTTAGGTAATTGAGTTTGTTCATGAAAAAAAGTCTGTGCCATTATGGAGCTTATATTCTGGTGGAAGGAAAGAAAAGAGTATGTGAAATAAATTGTGTAATATTTCAGAAAGTTGTGAAAATGCTGAGAAAAGGAAAAATGAATAGGGCAAAAATTATGAGGAATGAGTGGTAGAGATGGCATGTAGGTTTAAAGGAATTGAAGAATCATGGAGAATTTTGGTGTAGCAGTAACAACTATGTTTTATTTGTTTGTTGAATTGTCCTAGAGATTGAATCCAGGGTCTTTTTCTTTGAGTTACATCCCTAGCTGTTTATATTTTTATTATGGGATAGGGCATCACTAAATTGCTAAATGCCCAGGCTGGGCTTTACCTTGTGCTGTTCTTGCTTTAGCTCCTAGAGTTCTGGGATGCACTATCATGCTGGACTCCTGATTTATGGTTTTTTTTTTTTTTTTTTTTTTTTTTTTTTTTTTTTTTTCCTTAAAGTCAGGGTGTTGCTACGTAGACTAGGGTGGCCTTGAGTTTGTAGTGATCCTCCTGCCTCAGCCCCATGAATGCTAGAATTACAGGCATACACCACCATGTCCAATTTTAGAATTTATGTTTTTAAAAGTAACTCTTTGGATTCCATGTTGAGGGTACCCTGGAGGGCAAGAAAAACATTGCTTTGGTTATAGATTGTAGCTTGCTGGCTTAGAACCACAAATATGTTCATCTTGCTTTTGTCACCCTCCCCCAACCTCCCAGTACTGTGGCTTGAACTTAGGCTCTCATGGATGGTGGGTAACCATTCTACCACTGAGTGGCCATCCCCTTCATCCTCAGTTTTTGGGGCAAGTTCTTGCTAATTTGCCCAGCTTAGCCTCAAACTTGAGATCCTCCTGTTGTGATCACAGGCATATATCACTACCACATGTGGTTGCTTTCAAGATTCCTTGTGTTGGATTGGACAGGGCACAGTGAGAGAGTTCACCCCACTGCAGATGCTATTTGCTGGGTTGGCAGTCCTAAGGTGGGCTGGCTACTCATCTGGCTAGAAGCTTACCTGGGGTGACTGGGTGTTGGGCTGGCTGATGGAACCACAGAGTTAGTGTTAAGCCTCAGCTGTCAGCTTGATTCTTCATTTCTTCCAGTAGTTTAGGGGTTCTGGGGATGCTAAAACTGCTACTTTCTTAAAAGTTGGGCCCAGAGTTGGTTCAGTGTTATGTCTTTTATGTGATTAATGAAGTAAATCACATGATTAATTAAGTAATGAGGTCCAGTCGAGGTTTGAAGCTTTCTCAAGATGGTGAATACCAGGCCACATTAATGTGGGTTATGAGAGGAGAAAAGTTACTCAAGAATGATTACAGGTATGATGTGGGATAGACAGATAAGAGGTTTTCTGGGAAAGGCAAAAGAGATTCTGATTTCAGCATGTTGAGTGTAGATATCTTTGAACATAGATGAAGTCAGGCATGCAGTGTGACAGCCTGAATTTTTTATGTAGGACAGGTGGGGAATTAGAGATATTTTATTATATATATATCATAGTATATGATCCATTTTGATTATAGATGCATTCATATAGTATATTTATTGATAATATATTAGTTTTTGTGTTTCAGAATATGACATATTTCAGAATTTTAAATAGATGGTTATTAGGACTGATTATAACTTTTTAATACTGCTTTTCAACTTTATTTATTTGTCCTTTTCTGGTAAGATGTAGAAAACGCACCAGTGGCCTTCAGTCCTTTGACTCTGCCAGCCAAAGAGGAATTGGTGGAAAGTGCATCGTCTTCTCGCAGAAGGGACTCAGGCATTGGGGAGGAAGCAGCTTCTTGTCTGGGGAGAAGGAGTAGCACGCATGTTCCTTCTCCAGCAGCACCTTCCAGTGTCAGCGCAGGCCCTGATGCAATCAGTGAGGTGCTGTGCACTCTTTCTTTAGAAGTCAATAAATCTCAGGAATCCAAAAATGATGGAGGAAATGAGTTGGATAACAGTGCGACACCAGCAATTCCAGCTTCTAAAAACGTCAATGTGAAGGACATCCTGCGGAGCCTGGTGAACATCCCAGCAGATGGAGTCTCGGTGGATCCTGTCCTCCTGCCGCCATCCTGCCTTGGTGCTCTTGGTGATCTGTCTGCGGAGCAACCTGTGCAGTTCAGGTCTTTTGACAGGTACACAACTAGCCTGTACTTCAGTACGCTTATGTGTGTAAGGTATGAAAGGTTAGTGGTTCAGTTGGACCTGGCTAAATTTTGTAGCTTCAGTGGTAGAGAAATTTTGATCTGTTTTATAAAAAATGTGTTTTTTTAAATTTGTGTGGCATTGCAGATTTTTTTTTTTTTGCATTTCAATAAGATTATTTAAAAGTAATTTTCATTGTTTATTGGCAAGTTGTTTGTAAAACGGTTTTTTTTGGTTGTTATTACATTTTGAAAATGGCTTATATTTACCAGTGACTCCTTAACAGTGCCCTGTTGACAGTACTCTGCCAGCCTCTGTGAAACAAAGTGGTATCTAAATTCCAGCAGACTCACAGGGTTCTATTTGAGAAAGCTGACCACAGATTTCTGATCTTTTTGATTTTACTGCCTTGAGAAACTCTTGCTTATTTTCCTGAACATTCATTATATTATAAAATTCTAACACAAATATTTTCCCCTGGATTTTTTTTTTTTGTGGAACCGGGGATTGAACTCAGGCCCTCACACTTGCCAGGGAAGCGCTTATTCCATTGAGCCATCTCCCCGACCCCTCTAACACAAATATTTTTTACTAAACCTTGTTTTTAGAAGTTAATATTTTAATATGGTAATAAATTCTAATTTACAGAAAAGTTCTTGGTATAAAGTGGTTTTATTTTTCCTGGAACCTTTAAGTAGTATTTTAATGCAGTGTTTCATTACCTCTTAATATTTTATTGTATATTTTATATAACAACTAATATATTCATGTAAATAATGAGATTAAGATTTGTATAATATTAATTTTTAGTCTTTAAACAGCTTTAAATTTTTAGTAATTATCTTATTTTGTTCTTTTAATATAATTTTTTTGGTTCTTTTAATATAAGGATCAAGTTCAGAATTGTGTTTTTTTTTTATTATCTTTGAATCTGGAAGAATAATTCCTAAGTTTTTCCTTGAACTTAGTGATTCTGAAGCATTATACGATTATAGCTGAATCATTTTTAGAGTATTCTTAGTTTAGATTTGTCCAGTGTTTCCTTAGCATTAGACAGGTTAGTGTGTCTTTGGCAGGAATGTGACAGCAGTGACACTGCTTCTTTTTGCATTCTTTCACATGGCTCTGGACTTTGTCTCTTTACTAATGCTGCTCACTGTGATCACTAATTGAAAAGGTTCTGGCCTCTCTAGAAGTATTCCTGTGAAGAGATAGTATAAAACTCCATCAACTTCACCAAATTTTCATTTCATTTACTTTATGCTGTTATAGTTTCTGTTTTATTTGTGGTTTATAATCTGTTAGCATTGTTTATGTTGATGCCTGTATTTGGCCAGTGGAATTCCCTTTTAGTTGACTTCTGTTTTCTTTTAATATGTCCCCATCATTATTTAACCTTTTTAATGAATACTTTATTGTTCCTTATGCTTATCCTTAGACTATACCCCAGTATATTTTTACTTATCCTATCCTTTCATCCATCAGAATGTCCCCTCCCTTCCTCCTCTCATTGTGTTGCCCAGGTGTCTTTGAAATTCCTGACCTTACATGATCCTTCTGCCCCAGCCTCTGAGGATCTGGAACCATAGATGCAGGCCAGCTTTGTTTTATTTTGTGTCCCTCCTGTTCTCTATTTCTTCTCTTCTCCTGGCTTTAGACTGTTGATATGCTGTGTGTTAGCATCATAGATGCTGAAGTTGGCTAAGATTGTACATGGTAATTAAGATTCTCCAGAAGAACAGAGAATATATAAATTTAGTGGAGAGTCTTTGGCATTATTCTGTTATCTTGTCCCATTTCCTTCTACTTAAAACTTAGCAAATGCCCTGGAGAAAATGAGATTGACAAAGTTTGAATAAGTATATGCATAATATGACATAAATAGAGTTAGTTTTTCCTAGATTCAAATGTCTTCTTATAGCTTTTTTGAAATAGCTTTGTAAGAATTAAAATAATGACTCTAGAAATCAGACAAAAGAGGGCTTGGGCTTTGCCTCAATCACTTATTAGGACAGTTCATCTCATCCCTAGAATAATATTCTGTATCCATTAAGGAGAAAAAGAATGGCTATAGTGAAATGCATTGATGTGAATGGAAACTCAGCTACATTGGCTAATGAACCATTGGGTCCCTGCTGCTGTGTTGTGTTGTGTGCATATAGGTAGGAAGTGTTTGGGATTCATTCTGCAAATTAAAGGGCTATAGTTCCAGCGCACATATATTTTATGAACTGTATTATTCAGGTTTCATGTTGTTGGGGCAAAATATGACTCCCACTATTTAAGGAAGTTTATTTGGCTCACAGTTATAGAAGGCTTAGTCCATGGTTGACGTGCCTCTGAACACCCCCCCCCCCAAAGACATTGTGGTGGAAGGACATGGCACAGGTAAGCTGCTTAATCCATGACATCCAGGAAAGCAGTGAGAGGAGAAGGAGAAGCTGGGGACAGTAACACAGCCTTTTAGTTCAGCCTGCAGTGACTCACTTCTTCTGATTAGGCCTTACCTCCTAATAGCACTCTTAGCTACGAACTTGTAAATATATTAACTCACTGAGGAGTATAGTATGCCCATGATACAGTCACCTTTCAAAACCCCTGAACACATGAGACTTTAGGGGCATTTTAGATTTGTACCCTAATGGTGAAAAATCAGTAAATCAGGAAAATGAAAAATCTGCTAGGAAAGTAATAGGAACCATTATTATTATTATTATTATTATTATTATTATTATTATTATTGTATGAAGATGTCTGTGTCACTAGTAATGATGTATATGTGTATTAAAATAAATGGAAGATATTTCTATCCAGTTTAAATGAGTAGATTTTTAAAACTGATACCTTTTATTAATGAAAATCTCAAACATTTTGCATACTTTGCTGAAAGGGCATATTGCTGCAATTTATTTGAGGGTGAATTGACAGCAGTAATTAAAAATTAGAATACATAAACTCAGTTCCATATCTGAATGTTTATACAGTAGAAATATACAGTGAAATTTTTTTCTGCAAGAGAAATTTCATAATTAAACTAGTACCTATTGAGCTTTTTACTGTATAAGAGGCTGCACATTATGTATTTAGATTATTTACATACCCCAAATATATAGATGAAGAAACTGACAAACAAATTAAGTAGCTTAGAGGCTTATGCTAGTAAATAGTAGTGCTAAGACTTGAACCTACCTTCTTAACTGTTGTGTGTTCTTTGATATGATATGCTGCATTTCCAAGCAGTGTTGCTTTTTAATAATGAATTAATTTGTATTTGCTAATCTGTGAAGAATTGGTTTAATATGTAATTTTCATACATACTGTGCATACACATTGAGCAGTCAAGTGGAAAGTTCTATGTCTAAGGTCATAGTCAAACGACAGGGATTCCTAAAATACAGTATTGCGTAACTGTACCTTCAGGCTGTGTGTGTAAAGTGTATGTGAAATATATGTACATTTTGTGCTCAGAATTGGGTCTCATCCCCAGGATGTCTCATTAGCTGTGTACAAATTTTCCAAAGAAAAAACCAAAACAAAACATCCTCTGCAGTCTGCTTCTAGATGCATACATTTCAGACAAGGTGCTGAAGTTATGCGTAGCAATGCAGCCATTGAGGAAAGAAGGGCAGAGCTTTGTGTTTTAGTGTAAAAGAATGTTGGAGGTAATTTTTAAATGAAAATGAAATATAATGCACATAAAGTTTAGAATTTATGATTTTTAAAAGATAGCTATGTATGTTCTCATATCCCTCAAAAAGTAAATACTGACCTGTTCATAGCAATAGTGAGTTTTGAGAGTAGGTATTATCAGGATTTTAACATTTAAATGTAGGTACATTTTAAAATTTAGTGTGTCTTGTCAATATAGTCAAAGAAATTGTTTATTAATTACTCAAATTTTATAATTTTGACATTTCCTTATAAGTAGTGTTGAAATTATTCTGTGTCATGCCAATAACTTCAATGAAATTACGAATTTAGTTAAGAAGCCATGCACAGGAATATGTTTTATGGAGTATATTGAAATAGAAAAAGTAGTTTTGATAATAGCGTTTTTTCCCAGTGTGTTCTACACAAGTTTACATGTCTGGTATGCATTTAATGTATTGTCTGATGGAGCAGAAACTGCTCTGTTTTTTTCTCTCCCTCTTTTAGCAAGAGACATCTTTTAAAAAACTTGCATGCAGACATGAGCCAATGGAGTATCTTTGGAAATTTCAAAGCATCCCTCTGATCACGTATTTATCTCAGGAATGCTGTGTCAGAAATCACAAGTCTCCTCATATCTTAAGAATTATCAACTTCCAAGCAATAGCTGGAAAGTTTAGAGTAACAGCTACATGAGTGAAACCTTGCTGAAAGGCTGCCAGGTTGCAGGCCTTTGTGAACAGAAAGGTGTTTGTGTTCATTCCCATGCCAAAATTCTTGCTCTTATCTAATTTGAAGATCCTTTCTGGTGATTAGTGGATGCCAGGGATTTATCTTGATAAAGTTCAAGAGCTGGTCTGGCTTTTCAACTGGATCCTTAGGGACTAGAGGGCTAAGCTAAATGCTTTTTTCCTTTTTTAGTGAATGGTTTGCGTGCTAAATGGAACAGCATTTATATAAAGATTTGCGATATTTGAAACTTGATTTAATTCTGAAAAGAAACTTTTGAACCTTAGTTATCCAGAGGATACGGCTATTTGCCTATTGTTTTTTCTTTTTCCTTTTTTCTTTCTTTTCCTTTTTTCTGTATTTTAGGGAAGGGTCTACAGGGTGTTCAGGGTCTCACTACTAGATCAGACGGATGTGTAGTGATTCTTCTGTTTATAGCCTCCCAGGTGATAGAGTTACAGACGCATGCCACCATGCCCAGTTGCAAAGGCTGTCTCAGCTCGATTGCCTGGGGCGGGGCCAGCCCTCTAGGCCTGGGGATCGAGCTTCAAACCCTGGCCCCTGAGCCTGCTTGCAGGTGCTTTGATCCTCAGAGCTATTTGGCCAGCCCCCTGCCTATTGTTAATTAAAAGAAAATTTCAAAATCCTGAGTTCATGTTAAAAAATAACCAACAGCAATTTTACTTGCTATGTGCAGGACCTTAGAAGTAGTCTCTGATCTCTACAATGGGAATCATAGGTAGCAAATACGAATTAAATAATTCAGGTATGTCCTTGGCATAGTGCCTCACAAATGTTTGTTTGTTTGTTTATTTATTATGTATTTAGTAGAGGGTCTACAGGGTCTCCCTATGTAGATCGGACTCGTGGTGATTCTCCTGTTTTCAGCCTCCCAAACCTTAGGATTACAGGTGGTCACCACCACGTCCAGTGTCAGTGGCCATCTCAGTGCGCCAAGGGGTGGGGCTGGCACAGCACTCTGAGGATTGAACCTGACCAGCCACTGCACTCTGTCTAAGTAGGCACTTTACTTTGCTCAGCTAGCTGGCTGGCCTGTTTAAAATGATTAAATTAGGAAAATAAATAAATAAAATAAAATAAAATAATTGAATCCATAAAGAAACACTTTACATAAAAATGTGTCTTTTTTGGCAGTACTAGAGCTTGAACCCAGGGCTTCCTGTACATACTCTTCCATTGTCCTACCTCTGTGGCCCGTTTCGTATCTAGACAGGGTCTTTGTGTCTTGCAGGCGGGCCTCAATCTTGCAGTGCTTCTGTGTTAACCTCTTGAGTAGCTGCAATTACACTATGCCACTCTGAAATTGTATCTTTGTAATTCTTGGTTTTTAAATATGTGTTTGGAAAACCAGCATACATAACTGTTTGTCTTCCGTATTTTTTATGACCAAAACCTGAAACTACTTTTTTTTTGAAATTCAGAAATTTTTTTCTCCTTTCCTTTCCTTTTCCTTTTGAGACAGGGTCTCACTCTGTAGTTCAGGCTGGACTCAAACTCATAGCAGTCCTCCTATTTCAGCTTCCCAAGTGCTGGGACTGCAGTGCACATAGGGGTGTGCCACCATGCCCCACCTACATAAATATTTTTTAAATACTGAAACAGTATTTCATTTGTTTCTTAAATGTAATGGCTGAGGTATATAGTTCAGTGGCAGATCATGTTCTTAGCATGCAGAAAGCCCTGAGTTTGATTTCTAGCACAAAGTAAAAGAAAAGAAACTTGAGCTGCAGTCTGAGAAAGATAGCAGAAATGTCTCTTGCACATAGTGTGGCATGTAGGCTCTGAAAGTTTTGTCTAAGGCATGGTGTATTTTCTAGAAAGATAATGCAAGATGTTTTGTTCTGCCATGATCAGTCTTACTTGGGTCTGGCAAATCTTAATTTCTAGACTAGTGCTTAATCTGAAAAACATACATTGCTACTTTAGATTTAAACATATATACAAGATGAGTACAATAGGTTAAAGATAGGTTAAATATCCTTTCTGTTGGGCATGTTAGGCTTTTATGTGAGAGCTTTATAATAATAATGAAGGTGGTTGGTAAAGGGGAGAGAAAATATACACATAGTATCCTTTTAACTGAATTATCATGACTTTAAATATTCTTTATTTTTGTGTGGCCCAAAGATGGAGTGATAATGTTACTTCCTCAGAAATGATTTGAACTAGTGAATTTAGGAATTCACATTTTATTTATTTACTTCTATATATTATAGTGACTAAAGTATGCAGTTTTTTCATTTTCAGTCAAGTGTGTTTTAGTAATTTAGTGATAGTTCATATGTAATATAATATCCTGAAGATATTTGCTACTGTTTATAGATGATTATAATATATAATTTTAAATGTTAGTGTGATTATGATGATTTAAAAACCTTTTTTTTTTTTTTTTGTGGAACCGGGAATTGAACTCAGGCCGTTGCGCTTGCCAGGGAAGCGCTTATTCCACTGAGCCATCTCCCCAGCCCCTTAAAAACCTTTTTAATGTATTAAAATCTGTTTAGTTGTATACTTCAAGTGAATGAATTATATTGTAATATAATTGTGTATCTCAGAACTTTAATGAAATTCAGGATGAAGAAAGAATTCAAACTGGGGTTGTAGCTTTAGATTTTTAGAGAACGAATTCTTTTGGCTGTTTAGTCTTCAAAGCTTTAGTTCTTAAATTTAAAGAATAGAAGTCATATATACTTCAGGATTTTGCATGTTGAACAATAATTCTGCATAGTGTCAGTGTTTAGTAAGTCATAGCTACTATTAAAATGCATACTTTCATATTAGGTACCAGGATTTTGTAGGAACACCAATAGTACGTTTTTATGACCTTTAACTTGGACGACTAGAAAGACTTTGAGCAGCTTTGAATCATGAGAAAAGGAGATTGTTTTTAAAGGATTGGAGTTGTGAAATGATACGTCATGTACAGGAACCATCAGAAGACATTGCCCAAAAGTACGAGCTGTGCCAAAATGGTCAGACATAGAGAAGATGAGAGATTGGACAGTAAACACCCACAGACTCATTGCTGAGCTCTCATAATTAGCCTTTGTCTGTATGCGTTTCTTTATACAGCACTCCATGTATTTATGCTCCAACCCTATAGCGTGGCTTGTGTGTGCTAGGCAGGCTCTGTACCGCTGAGGTACAGCCTTCAGTCTGAAAGGCAGAGGTCTTACGCATACCATTTGATGAGTTTTGACAGACTCCCACATTTCATAGCATACGCACCTATCAAGATGTTTTTATTTTGGAAAGTTCTTCCTTCCCATCAATCCATGTCTCTGTTTACCAGTAGCAGTTATTATTTTGATTTTTCTACTGCAGGTTACTTTTGCCTGTTAATAGAACTTCTCCTAAAGGAAACACAAAGTACACATTTTTTTTAAATCATAAGTCTTCCTTCATTCAATATGATGAGATTGAATCAGTCTTTTGACATTCATCCATGTTGTGTGGCAGCAGTTTGATCATTTTATTGATGAGATCATTTCATTTTTAAGTTTATCATCCTGTAAAATTCGTTTTATAGAAGAAAAGGTTTGTGAGCATAATTGTACACTTGTGGGCTTCAGTTTTCATGGGGGAGATTCTTTGGTATAAGATTTTTAGGTCATATGATAGATCTATCTAAAATTTTGACTATAGAAAAAGCATTTTCACTTTTTAAAATGATAGTTTCCTGTTCGCCTATCTGAACTTACCAATTATGTAAGTAAAGTAGATAGTTATGGTTCTTTCTTTAATTCATAAATATGAAAATAAATTCTCCATATTCTTCTCTTTTTGTCCCCAAAGCAGGTTCCTGGAGGGTCTGAATTTTCTTAAACAATAGGTTTATAAATTTCTGTTTTGAGTAGGAGAAACACAAACTATGTTTGTATTTTTTCTGAATGCACCACCAGTGCACTTGCATATGCACACACGTGTGCACCACATGCACACATAGAGGTCACATCTACTTTCCCTTAAGTCAATAATCTTCATCTGATATAAGCTGCTATGATTTAAGCACACCATTTTGGATTGGGGGCTCAGGTGGCTGTTGCTTCTATTTTTTAGTGTATAGTTAACATTGGCAGTCACCCTTATAATGATGTGACACCAGCTACCTTCAAGTACATTGAATAAGCCATGCCTAGCATAAGAGAACTTGATTTAATTGGCAACACTGTTTGCCCTCACATGATAGTCACTGAAGTAAAACGGAACCTATTTTGCTGTTTTATCTCCTTTTGAAATAATGACAAAATATTTTTTAAAATACTGCAGTTACATAATTTCCACTTACAAATGTATTTATTTAGATCAACTATCTAAGGAAGTCTGTTTGGAAACCAAATACTTTAAAGCTATTAAGGGAATACTTGCAGATTGCAGTTAGTGTATTGTCAGCAAAAGATGTGATTAAATAAATTGAATGTTGAAGACTTTAGGCTTATGGTTAACACCAGGTAATTAAAAGTAAGCACTGCTGTGGGAGTGCCTTATATATCAGCTGTCCTCTTTACCTCATTAGCTGGGTTTTTGCATGTTTATGGAGCTAACTTCAATTAAATAAATGCCTTTTAAGTTATGTCTCACAAGGTCTTTTAGTTCCTCTTTTGGCGTAAAGTATTTCACTTTCATTGAAATTGATATATCACATATACCTGTGTTAGAATAATACACAAGATGAACGACTTTCATTATTTGATTTGTTTTTTTTTGTTTTTTTTTTTGCATTTACTCTTTTATTTATGCATTGTTTTTGTAATACATTATTCTCAAAAGACAAAGTCTTTGAGGTTTAGGAAAAGAAAAACTTGAGTTATATATCTGTTAGAAGTTATATGTCTTTTTTTCCCCTAGAGAATTTCTAAGGTGTTGTGATTTTTAATTAGCAATTCTTTAAGATCCTTGTGAAAACATGTTAGAATTTCTGCTTCAGTTTTGAGGTTAACAGTTTCTAATTTCTTTCTTACTTGAATGCAAGTTTTCCTTCTTCAGAGTAAGCTTTAGTTATTATGTGTTGGATAATTAAAGACAATCCTAAGTTTAAATAATCATATGGGGTAAATGTAAAATTTAAATATTAAGATGGATTCCTGTATTTCTAAAAAGTGTTTTAGTTCTAAAAACATTGAAATGCAAATAAATACAAGCCCTATAGAAGAGATTGTGTGTTTGGAAAATATTCTGAATTGCATATGAAAATAAACATAGGAACGAAAATTAGAAATTATTTCTTAATTTTTATTCTGAAATTAAATGTAATTAACTCATGTTTGATTGATTGATTTTGGTTACAGAAGTGTCGTCATTGCAACAAAAAAATCAACAGTCTTACCATCCACACTTGCTACCAGTGTACCTACCAATGCTCTGAGTGTGGTTTCTTCAGCAGAGTCCGCCCAGACCTCCCTGGTGGGCAGGGACTCACCAGGTGAGTTAGTTCCGGTGATGTCGCCAAAAGTGTTTCTTTAGTCTCACTTTAGCAAAATTAAGGATTTATGAAAAAGTCGAGAATCTTGTTAGGCACACTAGAAACTATTTTTTTAATAGTATACTGTTGCATTGTTTACTAATTTTCTGAATGAACTTCAGATAAGGTCAAACAGTTTCAGTATTTTCTCCACTCAGATTTAATGCTGTACAATACATTAAATAGATGCTGCTAGTTAGGTGAATGGATGAATGCATGCATTGTGTGTGTGTGTGTGTGTGTGTGTGTGTGTGTGTGTGTGTGTTTGTGTATGTGTATATCTTTCAATAAGTCTTTGGTCCATGTATCTTTAAAACATGTGGGTATTGTTCATATACTGTCTACTACTTTTTTCTGTGTATGTTTATGAATTGGAGTCTTGGAAATGGAATACTGCTCAGAAGTACAGCATCATTCTTGTATTAGTTATACTGGTTCAAAATATTTTATAGATTTTCCTTTTGCCCGTCTTCTCCTATACTCCTTCCAAGTCTAAAAGTTTATAAATAAATGGGTGCAAGTTCCTCAATCCCCATATGTTACCTGGAAGCTTGTTAGTGCTATCAGGGTAACTTAAAGAATATGCATTATGAAAATGAGCAGGGTAGGAAAAGGGGATGGTCTCATCATCAGATGTTCTGTTTGATAAAAAATAAGATAGGGTACCCCCAGAGGGACTCACGTTGTGACTATAGCATGGGCTTGATGAAAAATAAAGGGATTTCGAAGGAATGACGTGGTGGATTTTATGATTAGAAATGAATTTTTTTTTTTTTTTAATGGGATATCTCAAGCAAGGTTTTTGCCTTCTATCTGCTGTTCTGCTTTTATTTGTCTAGTGTATCTCAGGCAGTTTTGGTTCAAACTTCATCATAATGACTGTTTCTTTTTTCTTCCTTGTTTTTTTTCCACTTGTAATAACAAATTTTTTCCAAGTTTTAAATGCAATTGATGCTTTACAAAATTCATAACATTGTGAGAAAATATATTATGTTAAGAAAAAGATGACTTTATAAACCATATAAGTATAATTATGTTCACATTTCTTTTATATAAGGTAAAAGCAAGAAAGTATACTGTTATTTGGTTGTCACCTATTTTCTATTTCTCTTTAACCTCTCTGATTGATTGTTGGTGCTCAGGATCAAACCCAAGGCTTTAAATGAGCTAAGTAGTTATTCTACCACAAGGTTGCACTGCTAGTCATTTCACTAACTCCGTGTCTTTCTGATGTGAATCTTTTTTAAAACACTTATTTTGATTTTCACATCTGTTCTTTCTTTTCTTCTTTTAGTGTGCTATTATTACTGTTACATGGTCTCTCCATTTTATTACTTAAACTGGTAATTAATTGCATACATTTCTTTATTGATAAGAGAAAAGCAATCTCACCTGATGTTGGTTTTCCAGTCGTCCTGCTTCTTTCTCTCTGTGGCCTTGTTTTATATATTTTCCCTACCACATTAGCCTTACTGCCTAACAGGCAGACACTCCTTTACACTTGGGATCTCTCCCCTATAGAGTTCTCTTTTTTTGGTCAGTCATTTTAACTGCTACACTTTTGTATTCTTTTGTTGGGTCTGTATTAACCATTAAAATACTGTGTTTATCTTTCATAAAAAAAATTACATTTATTTTCTTTCTTTTGGTTTTATCAGGATTTGGGAAAAAATAATTTGTGGCAAATTGATTTTTTGTTTTTTGTATTTTTTGGGGCCAGCTCAGCCCACTCTGATGGTGGGGCTGGCACTGCACATGGTGCCAGGGATTAAACTGCAGTCCCCTGCGCCTGCCTAAGCTTGCCTGAGCAGGTGCTTTAGACTGCTGCGCTATCTTGCTGGCCCCATGAATTGATTTTTGTATGGTTTTCTGAGCAAGGTAATTTATTCTTCAAATCTGAGCAAGTTAGGTATTAGTCTTAGTTTAGTCTTAGATTATTTCCTTCTATGATAATTCATTTCATGTATGTTCCAATGTCCAAAAAAACCCGAAGTTCTGAAACTCAGTGATACATTATTGATTCCTAAAAACTTTGATAGTATAATTTCAATATAACTGGGAATCTCTATGGAAGGAACCATATAAATATAACACATTAAATATGAGTTTCATAGCAGAAAGTTTTAAACTGTTTGAAATATCGATAGGAAAGTAGTACTAAATTGTATGTAGTATTACTAATGAGAAACTAAAACAGGATATAGACTGATACCAGGAAAAGAATTAGAACTCACTTTTAGTATAAGATATTAAAATGAGAAAGTAGGGTGAGGGGATAGAAAACTTTGTAAGTCAGGTCTGAAATTAATACAAAGTAAAAACTTAAACTTCTGACCTATATATGAGATCAAAGTTTTTTTCTATTGAAATATGACTAAAGTTATTTTATAGTTTAGCTTAAAAGATAAGGATTTTTGCATTTTCTGTTAAGTGGTCTGTATTATTAAATCCATGATATACATAGTGTTTTCAGTATTGAGATTTTAAATTTTAATTGGAGAATTTTACCTTAGCCTCTCCAGCAAAAATGTAATATCTAGTAACCTCCCTTTTAAGAGTTTTAAAGTTTTTATTTTTCTTTATTTTACTAATTTTCTTGAGAAACAAATAGCAATGAGACAGTTTCAAAACAGGTTAGTGGGACAATTTCAATAATTAATACATTACATATAATTGTCTTCGTAGTAGTTATTTGTAGTACAAGATTCAGACATGATAACCTGTCTAAACACTATTAGTACAAATCTTTCTTCTCAGTGAATTAAGAGAAAGTAGCTATATATCTAGCCTATTTTGTATATACAGATACAAAATGGTCCTTCATGTGTATCCCCTTTTTTGTTTAGTTTTGTCAGAGATGGGTATTCCATTGCCATTTAAATATTGTATGTGTGTGAATTCAGCAAAATAATCCAATATAGTCCAGTAGACCATAATAGTAGTGGGTTATCCATAGGACTGGCAATGTCAGCAGTTGTTGACTTGAGCCTTTTACAGCTCAGCATATTAATATGTCTTTACTTTTTATGCCTCGTTTTTATACTTTTCTTGTGGATGGTTAATATCAAGATAAAGCAAGACCTATATAAAAAGAGATGTATAAAGTTTTTATTAGTACATGTTTGTGGTATGCAGATTTCTTTGAAATTTTAAAAGTCCTTCACTAAAAGAGAAGTTGTATCTTTTGTATATGTATGTTTTCAAAGGAAGGAAATGAGAAAGCAAAATTCAGTAAGTCTGGAAAATTGAAAGTTTCTCATCAGCAAAGGTTCAATTCCCTAATATATAGTATACTTCTGTATGTTAATATGAAATTACTTTTTCCCCCAAATATGTATAGTATTTTTCTACGATGCTGCAAAAGCATTTTATAAACAATTAAATCAAAATTGAGTCTAAGTCAATAAAGGAGTTAAGTGATTTGTTCGCCAACAACTTATATACTGAGTTCGCTAATTTGCAAAATGTAACAATTTAACAACCTAATAAAATACTAGGCTACATTCTGTTTATCAGAGCCATGTACATTATTAATTAGAAGAACCTTTTCTCATGTTACGGGAAAGTATTCAGTTATTGACAGTCTCTGTTTTATGTAGTATTTAACCCAATAAAAGTTTTATTTATTTAGTGAGGAATTTTTACTGAGCACATAGACTATCCATTACAAAATTAAGTAGTCCAAGAGGCAGGCAGACAGAAAGACACACACACAAAATACAGTGTAGCAATGTTTAGAGATTAAAATTTTACATTTGTTTTAATAATTCGTTATTGTAAGTATTTAGACCCTTTGGGATGATGAATAAACTTGTGACTATTCCCTGGATAGATGCTAGACATGTAAGCTATTTGCATTTTCCTTTTTGTTCTTTTGAATGCCTGAAAACGTGTCAGTTTGAAAGAGCCAGTTCATTAGGGTAAGGATAAGGAAAAGATAAGTCCATATTCTTCCACATGTTAGAACCAGCTTCTGCACCTGAATATATGTGATCCTCTATTGGGAATATTTAATGTTAAATTAATCCCAAGTAAATTTGCCATAAATTTATTTTTATTTTCCTGAATTGAAAATATACTAT